AAGAATTCTAGAAACAATGAAGTTTAAGAGTAAGAAGAACTTGAGAGACAGAAGGGGACCAGAAAGTGGATTGCCCACAGACCCTCTGCTTCTCAAGGGCATTTTATTGAGCAAAGCCATAAGGTGAGGCAGGTTGAAGGTGGGACAAAACTATAGTCAACTAATAAGATTACAAACACCAAATACCAGTGCTTAGGTGATCCAATGGGAAATCACAAGGTGGGACAAAACTATGATCAACCAATAAGATTACGACAAACGTAGTTCCTTAGGTAATATTGATTAAATGGGGATCCAATGGGGAAGCAGGTCACATAGCAAGCATACAGGGATGATCAAAAATTTCTGGGAAGAAATGGGCTGGGGAGGTTTTGGTCCCTACCTAAGGTGATGGAAACCTATTAGCATATCAATCACTGCTATTCATCCCTAGGGGAAATATGTGTGTAGTTGTTCCTCTTTTCTGAATCCGGACCTTCAGTAAATGGGCCTCAGTTGTCTTCTGTATGGACTCCCTGGAGGGCCCTCCCTGTCTGACTGCCTGTAATACATCCAACTAATTTAGCTGTCTACAGTAACATCTAGATTGTTTTTTACTTCCCTCCTTTTCTAATAAGGGCAAACCTGAGCAGAAAACAGGGTTTTGCCCTTTATGCTCCTTGTATGTCCAGAACATGACTCTCCATTTATAAAACAACACTGTAAAATGCTTCTCATTTCGCTGCATCTTTGGGCAAATTGTTGACCCTGTGTGCCCTTCTTTTGCTACCTAAAAAATGGGAATTAACAGCGCTTGCTTCTTAGAATCGCAGCTGAAATCTAAGAATAAATACAAAAGGGCAGGCACTGTAATGCTCACCTGTAATAATCACAAGTTCAAGGCCAGCCTGGGCACCTTAGCAGACTGTCTCAAAAAACACCACAGCTGCACCAGAGACATGGGTTGGAAACCGGCCTCAAGATAAAGACAAGACGACCAGACCTGCATACTTCCTCAGAGAATAAACATTGAGCCTAATGAAGTCTAGATGGGCATCAGGGTCAGAGATTTAGCTCAGTGGTTCCACCACCTGCCTCGCAAGCGGAAGGACCTGAGTTCGATCCCGGGTACCAAAAAAATAATAATAATAATAATAATAATAGATAGGCATCAGCCACCCTGGTGGGTGACCAGAGACCTCTGGACCCACCACTTCCTAGGAGAATCTTTATTCTTTCCATCAACGCTTGTTATCTGACTTGTTTCCCAACTGGACCACCATTAACTAAGTGACTACACTTATAACCTTATTGGATGATCATGGCTGCGGGTCACATTGTACCCACGTGGGTTTCACCCAATTATACTCCTCTGTAAAGCGGGGTCCTTGGGCTACCCACTCAGGACCCCTCCTGCCCCTCAGGAGCTTTCCTATCAATAAATATCTTCCTACTTTTAACCTTCTGTTCCTAGGACACATTCTTTGATTACTAGAGAACAAGAACTCCGCCTATCATACATTTAACAGGTTGGGAGATATAATATTTCATATTTCATCCCTGGTATTATTTCCTGTAACACTGACACAGCTGGCTAGTTCAGAGATTGGGTTTTCTGTGCAAGGCTAAAAATGTCCTTTCTCCTCTCTCAATGCCTGGGAGATCCCATCACTCAAATTCTTCCGACCCCTCCCGCTCTTTGCCCCAGGGTAACTACAGGACAAATTGCTAAAACTCTGCTTCCCTATGTGTCTAGACAGTCATAATCTTACCATGGGGTTTGTTACTACAGGAAAAAATCCCTTGTTGCAAAAATCTAGTGAAACTCAAGAAATGGAGACGTGGAGGGCAGCAGCCCTGAAAGGAAGTTGCTTCCTTGGTCCTGGCCACATGTGACTAGAAACTGTGGCCCAGTTATCTGGGAGGGAGCCCAGCCCACAGACCGCCCAGACGACCACATAGGGAGAGCCACTTCCCTGGAGATAACCCCACCAGCCAGCAGGGCCATCACATTCTCTGCAGCCTGGAAGGAAGCTTCCTCTGGCCTCCTTCCCTGCAGTGGAGATGGGTCAGCCCTGGGGATGGCCCTTTCCCAGGTGGCTGAGGACAGAGCCTCTTTACTGTCAAGCAGCGTTTGCAATACAGACTGTATGTGGAGTGGGGGAGTGCGGCCCCCACGTCCCTGCTTTTATGATGCTTCTAACCAGTGGCAGAAAAAAGCAAGTGGCTTCCCCCAAGCACCTGTCAACTCAGCACATCCTCTTGACAGCTTCCTCTTTACATGTGAGAGGAAGTGACCCAGAAGTGACTCTTTAAAGCTCACACAGGGCCAGGGATTTAGCTCAGTGGTTCTGTCACCTGCCTTCAAAGAACAAGGTCCTGAGTTCAATACCCGGGAACAAAAAAACCCAAAACCAAAACAAAACAAAAAAAAGCTCACACAGCTGGGAGACTGGTACATCAGGTCTTTCTGATGCTCTTTACCGCTGTATGGCACTGCTTCTTGGCAAGGCCATTTCCAAAGCCAGCCATCCTGCTGCCCTGGGCATCTGGGTTCCCTGGGTAAGGGGCCTGCAGCGTACCAGAATAATCTCCCTCGGTGGGGGCGGGGGGCGGGCAGCTCACAGAAGCTCTGAGAACCTAAGCATCCTGTCCCCACTGGGAGTTTTGTCACCTGACCTAATGAAGCCACCTGTGCCAGATGGTCAACAAGAGCATCACCCAACCTGCCCCACCAACAGCCTGCCCAGCCAGTGAGTGACTCCACTGTCCCCCAGCTAGGGCCAGATATGACAGGCCCTTGGGTGCACCTGTCATACACACATTCCTGCACCCCCACCCACCCACCAGCAAGTCCACACATCCCAGAACCCATTGTGGGGACCTGCCAATGCCTTTCTGCTGTCCCCCTGGTGGCTGTCCCCCACAGCCACCTCCCCTCACAGCCCTGCACACTTCCTGCACTTACCACAGCTGATTCGCATTGGAGTTCTCCTTGGCTCGCCTTGGGCTACTTCGCAGCAGACAGAGGGCTCTGTGGGGACAGGGCCACATCTGGGCCTGATGCTCTGTAAATTCATACTGGATGGATGTCTATAGGTCAGGCCTGAAGCCATCCACAAACTTTCCTTGGCTTGCCCTGGGGTCTTGCTGATGCACCCTCCTCCTCTGGAGCTCCTCTGCCCAGAGGCTGTCCACCCAGAGTCTGGACACTGTGCCTGTCTGGAAAGTGGGATAAACGCTGCATCTCCAGGG